CCGTCTATTGGTCAATTGGTCAGCACCCCACTCCGGCTGGTGGAGGGGGCAGCAGCAGCAGCAGCCGTCTTTCAGTCGGTTGGTGGGCGATAATTATCTGACTGAAAAATGATCGCCAGGCCAGGCGGCAGAGCCTAGTCTCACTTCGCTAACGATCGGCATTTGCATTGGAGAAATGAATGTGAGCGCAAATAAAAACCCAAAATAAAAGAAATCAATAAAAATTGATAAATTTGCAGCTGCATTGAATCGTTTTTTATGAGCTTTCATTCGATTTTAATGCGTTTTATAGCCCGTTACGGAATGTAAAATTTTTATTTTAGATATTTATGTATAAGACATATAATAGATAAATTAAAAAACTTCCGCATTTCGCTAAAATAAAAAAAGAAAAGTTGACAAAAATAATTTATGAAAATTTAAATATTTTAAAAAATTGAAATAAATATATTATTTAAATAATAATCTTAATTTAAAATTAAAATGAAAGAAAATTATTTTCATTTATAGTAATTATAGTAATCATAATGTAAATAATAATAAAATTAATATTAATCGAATTAAAAATATTTTTAAAAATAAAATCAATTAAAGTTATAAGTTCAAATTAAAATTTATTCTTTAATATGTTTTTCTGCTGAACAAAAATCATAAAATGTTGAGCAAAGACTTCTGTTAAACATAAAAACATTCAACTCTTTAAGTTAACATTAAGACTAAGAGCGGCTTCGCTTCGTTGTCTACTTTATGAGCTTTCAACTTTGATATATAAATATACTTCAATAGATTTCGGCTCTGCTAAAATGCCTATCGAATTCACTTAAAAGCATATATAAAGAAAAGACGCTATCTGTTGAGAGGAAAATCCACCGAATGCGATGCTTACTTAGCCAGTGCTTAGCAATTGTAAGCACGTTGAAGTTAATCGAGTTCAGGTCAATAAATATTCTATTATCGACAAGTGCGCACACAAATCCATAGATATTTTCACTGATGCCTCCATTTTGGCCAATCGAAGTGCAATTTGAGTCAGCTTTTCTTGCGTTGGCCGCAACGAATTCTTGGCGGCTCATCTGGATCGACAGGTTTTTCGCCGCATTGTCTTCTTTATGTGTCTATCTTTTCTTTATTTTCTCGCAACAATTGTTGAATTATTTTAATTGATTGCGCTGGAGCTGGCGACTGGTTTTCATTTGCAGCATGTCTGCGAACGGCATCCGTACGCAGTTTGCCATCGCGGCTGTTGCCTATTGGTAATTGAAACTTGTTAAGACATTAAAAAATCGTTTAGCACGGAATTTGGGTTAAAAATGCGTGGAAAATCGTGAAAAAATCAAAGCAAAGCAGAAAACAGAAAACAGAAATCAGAAACAGATAAAGAAAAACCAAAAACATTTGACAAGAAATTGCAATCGAGGCAACAACAGAAGCAGAAGAGCTCAAGCGTGTGATTTTGAAGACAAAACTTGATCAGGGCAAGGAGTGGAGACGCGGCCGAGGGAAATTGTGTAACCACAATATAAAAATTCCTGCACATAAACTAATCTTGGCAACGGCGGTGGCTTTTGACTACCGCATTTTATTTTTTTTATATTTTTTTCATCTTTGTATTTGACGCCCGCCAGATGGAGGGATGCTAATCATGCCCGAGCCAGGCACACCAAAGAAATTGTGCCGAAAACTTCATAACTTTCTGTTGCTGTTGCTGTTGTCTGTGCTCTTTTGCATACAGCAATAAATTTCCCTGGCAATTTTCCTAAGCAATTTGCATGCCAAACAAAGCCAGTACAATGTACTATATATATATAAATATATATATTTTCCAGTTACTAACTGCATGTCAAATAGCACACGATACCATCTCGTACTTATGTGTAAATAAATATGCCAAAATTTCGTTTAATTAAAAAAATTATTGGCGCATTTTTATTTATGGCCCATAATCGAATAACCCCCCCTTTATGCAATCAAACAAAATTGCAAGCTGCATAAACAAGTTACTTTGGAGGCAATTACAAGAAAAAGGCGAATATCAAATACTCTGCAAAAGGTAAATATTATACTTGAGCATTAAATTGATGTATATAAAAAATATGTAGCTAAAACAAAAATCAGATTTATTAATAATAAAAGAACAAATTAAATATATCTATCAAGTCTAACTTTAGAAAACAATCATTTTAAAAAAATTAATATTCAAAACAAAAAAAAAAACGGCAACCCAAAAACAAAATAGTGAAATATGACATTTTATTTAAAATATGAAATATGAAAATCTTAAATAAAGATTAAAACGTGAAATCATTATGGAAACAAATAAAAATAAGACAAATAATAATAAGAAATAATATTAATAAATAAAAGAAATTATTAGTTCAGAACTTTTTTAAATTTAATTTGAATAGCGCAAAATCATATATAAAAAAATAATAAAAAAAATTATTTCTATAATAAATAAATACAAATAATTATGTCACTTATAGCCTTGTATTTGTTTGTCCTAATTATTTTTTATTAAAATTTTGAAAGTGAGTTGAACTTAAGCTAATTAAAGCTCAATTGAATTATAATAAAATGAAAATACAGATATATTTCACTGGTCAAGCTGAATCTATGGCTTGACCGGTGAAACACTAGTAGATCCGTGCGTATTTAAGATAATTATATATTACATTATTTGCTATCTATATTATTTAGATCTACTATATTTATCTATATTCAGATCTACTCACCTGCCACACATTTTGGGCTCTCAAGCGAATGCAACCTTTTTGGCAGTTAGTGTAGCCTATCATGCTATCATGTTTTTTAAATGAAGCCGCTGCAGGCTGTTTGCATTGGCCAAAATGCGCTAATAATTTCTACGATTACGATTGCAATTGCTATGCAGCATAAAGAAATAAACTGCAATCGCAATCGGAGTTGCAGTTGGAGTCGGAGAAGGAGAAGGAGTTGCAGTTGCAGTTGCGGCCACATGCATCTTCATCTTGACTCATGAGGCATGTGCTGGGCACATGCACGTACATGATTGGCCGCCAGGCAGTTATGTACTATATGCACGTAGCCCCGTAAACTTTCTTTTTGCTCGGGCTCAGGCTCGGGCTGCAGTCAAATAACAATAATCGTGGCCAAATTAGTCAATATTGGCGCCCCAAAAAACTCTCAAAAGAAACGCTTATTATTTTATTTACTATTTTTTTTGTGTTTTTTATGGATTTTATATGCATATACTTTACAAGCGATCCTCCCTCTATTACTCTCCTTTGACCATAAAATGTGCATAAAGTAATTTTTCGAATTTAAACATCATGATTAGCTAAACTACCGAGCGGCAGCCAGCCAGGCCAGGCAAATGACTACAAATGATTACGCATTTGAGCCAGGCCAAGCAAAGTCTCTTTTCTTTTCTTTTTTTTTTGGTGAAATTTCAGTAAGCTGCCTTTGCCTTCTTTGGCCGGTCAGATGAACGGGCGATAAGCTGTGGAAAACATTGAAAACGAGCTCAGTTTGAGAGTCTGAAATGCAGACTGGACCATCGCTTGGACTCTGACTTGGCCATTGGCCTGCACTTGTTGTAACTGCTGCTGCTGCTGTTGTTGCTTTCATTCAGGCTCTAATGGGTCGTGTCTGTGGCCGGCACTGCCGCACTTTAATGTCTTTGGAGATCAGGTGTTGATGCTGCAACTGCTGCAGCGGACAGCGGTCTCAACTAAGCATTTCAAAGACCTGGCCTCACATTGCAGTTGATTTCTGCGTAGATTGCACTTAAATGTTCCTAGCAATAGCATCTGAAATATTTATACCGAGGCATTTTCTCTTCGCTTTGCCCTTATCTAAGCTATGCGCCAAGCTCTTTGCTCTCTGTGCTGTATGCAAATTTGTTAAGTCATTTCTGTTTGTGGTTCTCACGCTGCCACACCAGACCTCGAAATGCCGTCCATATTTTTCCTATAAGCAGACCCCAAAAAAGCCAAAAACAAAAATAACTACAAATATTTCAAACAAAAGCAAATCAATTGACAATTTGAACATTTAGTACTTGCTGCACGACTTTGACGGGCCAAGCTAAATAGCAGCAACAACAAAACACATGAACAGCAGATCAAAATCGCCATCGCCTTCGCCTTCGCCATCGCCATCGCAATCGCAATCCGAATCCGAATCGCTGCAATGGCAACGGCAACTGCACGCAAGCTGTCAATACAATTTCGATAGCTCGATCTCGGACTGACCAAATGGATTTCTAATCAAGGCAGCAGCCACCCTGCAGGCTGCAGCAGTCAATGTTGATTTTTTGGCAGCGCCAACGCCGATGCCTATTCTAAATGCGACTCGCAGAATCTATGCAAATGAAACAAAAACAGCAAAAGAGAAGAAAAAACAGAAACAAAAACGAAAACATTGTGTCACCGCGTCAGCATTTGGTTTTAGCCAAAGTCCAAGTGCGGCTTCAAGAGATTTACGAGCCGGGCACGCCAAATGTGTTTACACTTTGTCACCCTTCTGTCAGTTTGATTTATTTGTTTGCAGATAGCCAGCAAAAAGCTGAGAAGGCTAAAGTAGCTGGCCAAATTAAAATGCAAGTATTGCTGGAATGCACGTCCAAGCCAACTGCCGGCGAGCCGGCGAGCCGAGGTGAGCCGAGTGCAAGAAATGGGCGAATGAATGACTGATTGACTTATGCAGCCAGCTGACAAGTGGCTTAAATAAATTAATGTACACACATGCATGTCCCCAAAGAGTCCGAGGGAAACTGTTTACTAATCAGAGGCGTGGATGAAGTTGCCAACAACAACAACACCTAGAGCGGGTTTTTGCCTGAGAATACATTAAATTTCAATTATATAAATTACCAAAGCAATATAAATCTTTATTTAAAAAAAAATGCACATTTTAATAGTTTTTTTCTTACCATCTTTTGCAGCTAAAAGCACACAGAGAAAATATTAAGCAACATTTATTCTCGTGGCCAGCACTAAAAGGAATTTTGCGAACTGGAAATACACGCAGAACAAATGATTGGCACTGAGGACATGTCCACATCGACTGGCATGGATATAAGTGAATCCTTTCGTGCCGAGGATCTCTCAAAGACGGATTTCTTCGATTTTGTCACAGCGCCGGATATGGGCATTGGCATTGGCGTTGGCGTCGATGTGGGCGTTAGCCTGCAGCAACAACACCACCAGCACCAGCAGCAGCAGCAGCAGCAACAACATCACAGTCACAGCCATAGCCAAGGTCATCTGCCAACGACATCACAAACGCCACAGCAGGCGATCTGCGGCGGCGGCGCGAGAACCACCAGCAGCATGACACACGACATTGGCGAGGGCGGCGGCGGTGGCGCTGGCATTGTCCCAGTAAGCAATCGTAATGGCAGCAGCAGCAATGGCGGCGATCCCACGTTACAAGGCTACGAGGTGAGTATAAAGACGTTTACGAGACATCAAGCTGGGACAGCCCTTGAGGCATCAATCACTGTTTATCTAAATCAACTCTTGCTCGCTTTGTCGCTTTCGTTTGACAGTTTTGGCATCAGGACAAGGATAGCAGCCGCCTGGACTCGAGCTCGATTTTCGAGGACCTCGATCGCTACTGCTGGCAGCAGCAGCCGATCACAGCCAGCGCCACGACCACTATCAATGCCAGCAACGTGCGCTGCAGTAACCAGCCAAGTCCCACATCTCCGCAATCGCATCCACATACACATCCACATCCACATCAGCAACAGCAGCAGCACCAACAGCAACAGCAGCAGCAACAGCAACAGCAGCCAAATGCGAGCAGCTCGTCGAGCGCTGCTGGCAGCAGCAGCGATACCATCAGCAGCCTGGACACAACTGACGGCCAGATCTACACTTTGACAGTATTAAATGGCGGCGAGCCCTGGCTGAAGCGTGCCGAAGCGGAGCAACTGCCCAGCGCGCTGGACTTGGACAGCTTGCTGGGCAGTTTTCCGGGCTACATCAAGTCGGAGTATCCGTACGATGATAGCGGATTCAGCACGGATGGCAAGGATGCGATTGTCAATGGAGCGGATGCCAATGGCCTCAGCAGTATTTCCCAGTCCCAGTTGCAGGGACAGACACTACCCTCGCTGGTCACGGCCATTTCCATAGCAGGCGGCGGTGTCAACGAGCTGGGCCACCAGCTAGCCCAGTTCCAGAACAACAACAACGACTGGCACATGGCCGATCACAATGCGGAGGCGGAACAAAACACGGCGGAGTCTCTGTTGCGCAGTGCACTGCAGGGCAAGGGCTACGCCAAGGGGCTGCACATGCAAAACGGTCTGGCTCTGCCCGTGGTGAAGGACGAAGAGATGCGTAGGCTACTCTTCACGCCAGACGATGCTGCCGATGCCTTGGGCTTTGCGGACTCCACGCTCGGCACGGCGCAAATGTTCGACGATGCCCAGGCGATGGGTCATGCAGGCGCTGGCGCGCACATACCTGGATCGAATCACGGCCAGCATAGCGGCAATGCTAGCAGCATCATTGTCGACGATATGTTCCTGTCGCTGGAGAATGCGTTCAGCGACGACTTCGAGAAGATCAAGCGCATAGCCAATGAGGTGCAGCAGTTCTGCAGCGCCAGCCAGGGCGCCCCTACGCCCGGCGACTACGCCAGCAGCGACGTGCTTATGCAGCTGTCGCCGAGCGGCGCAACAGCAAACACAGCACAGCAGCTGCAGCCCCTAACCAATGCACAGCAGCAACAGCAGCAGCTGCAGCATCAACAGCAACAGCAACAGCCACCGCCCCCGCCCCCGCAGCCACTCAAGCCCGAGGTGTCCACATCGACAGCAGCCGCTGCTGTGGGCACAACTATGCATGGCGGTCGCCTGGGTGGCATCAGCAAGCCCAAGAAGCAGTACAAGCGCAACAACAGCAGCACCAACAACAACAACAATCCAAATGTGGCCAACAATAATAACAGCAACACCAACAACAACAACAGCAACAGCAACAAAAATGTACTGGGCGTGGTCATAGGCAACGGCGGCAGCTCCTCGTCGAGCGGCAGTGCCAGCAGCAGCAGCAACAGTCCGCCAGCTAACTGCAATGCCAGCGGCAGCAACTCGGGCAGCAGCAACGGCGGCGGTGGCAGCCAGCGCAAGGAGCGCTCGCTGCACTACTGCTCCATCTGCTCGAAGGGCTTCAAGGACAAGTACTCGGTGAATGTGCACATACGCACGCACACGGGCGAAAAGCCATTTGCATGCTCGCTGTGCGGCAAGAGCTTTCGGCAGAAGGCCCACCTGGCCAAGCACTATCAGACCCACATGACCCAAAAGAACAATGGCAATCTGATCAAAGGCAGCTCCAGCAAGCATCAGCGCGCGGTCTCCGCAGCTGGCAACGCGGGCGCAGCCAACAGTCTTGGCCAACAGCGACAGCTGAGCGCCGTGGCCACCGCGGTGGCCAGTCCCAGTTTAATGAGTGCCGGCGTCGTGCTGAGCGGCCCAAATACGCCGCCCGGCGTCTTACCGCCAGCTAATGGTCTCTTGGCAAACAGGTAGTAGAGCCGACCTTGGCTATATACATACACATATATATAGGCTATGTTCCACAAAAATAAAAACACAAACAGCAAACTATTTCTTGTTCCTTACTAACAACAAAATGAATTATAAAAAAACTAAGCTAACTATTTGAATACTCTTGGGAAAGTGTTGAATGTCATTGATGAATTCCTATCTCAGCTTTCTGTGCAATTCCTATATCACAAATGCATCAAGACACACTAAATGCACTTTCAAATAAAATACTCACACACACACACAAATTAATTTTAAATGTGCCAAATTTAAAAGCAAGTTAAAGTAAAGAGCAATTTCTTAATATTAATTAAACAATTAAAAGTGAAAACGAAGCTACAAAGCAAATTTACGCGAGGTGATATCTAAATGAGGCCAAACGCTTCCTTAAACAAAAAATAAATACAAATAAAAATCTAAAGAAAACAAAATCTATGAACTCACCCACATTATGAAAATAATATTTATGTTTAACAACAAAAAATTATATATATATATATATATTTTGTGAAGCGTTTCCTGTAAATTAGAAGTATTTGATTTTAGTTGCTTTGCCCCCTAATTAGCATAAGGTTAAAGTTCGTCAATGTAAATAGTAACTTAAGTTAAAAGCCAGCAATGAGAAGAAGCTTGAACACTTCATAAAATTCAAAAGAACAAGCCCCGAAATAACAGAAACTTCCCTCGTCTGAAAATACGAATTTATATATGTCTTTTCTTCAAGGATCTCTCATACCCAGGCACAAGCTAAACCTCTTTTTCGCCAGCTCTGAGAAGTGTTCATGTTATCCACGGCTCAACTACTTACAGAATACAAACAAAATGCTTCAATGCATTGCACTTGCCATTATATTTTGTTTATTTGATAAATCGTTTATACTTACTCGATTAACTAGATCCAACTTCTTCTTCTGACACTCGCCGCTGTTTGTATGTACTATAAATAATTAAATAAATAAATAAACAAATAAAAAAGTGAGCTAAAATTATGCTAGATCTAGGCTAAGTAAAACAAATTGAATATAATTACGTTTAGTTAATGATTAATTAATAATTAATTAAACTGCCAATTATTATGTGATAGTTTTAATAAAAAATTAAAAAAAGAAAACTTCATTTCTGGTGTTTGGGTCACGTTACACTTATTGTTACATATATATATATATTTACTGTGAATTTTGCAATATTTTTTAATTTATTGAATTTAATTTATGTACATAATTAATTCTGTAATTTTATCGAATCGAATTACATTCTTTAGTTAAATGTTTGTTAGTTATTATTTATGCAAGCAGAAAAACAAAAGCAAAAAAAAAAAAGAAAAAGAAAAATTAAAAAAATTAGCAGCTAAGCCTTACAATAATTTAATTTAGTTTAAGTATTGCAAACATTAAACATCAAAATAAAGAAAATAAAAAGTTTTATTGAAATATCTAAATTCATGGCCGAGCAGTGAGAGTCTGTGGCGTTGTGTTAATTAGTTTTACAGGCAGATCATCAGGGGCATATAAATAATTTTCTCCAATAAAGGAAGCGCATGCAAGCGCATGCAGCTGCGCATGTCAACAACAACTGCAACAACAGCAACAGCAGCAACAACAGCAACAGCAACAGCGGCTGCAACATTACACAGGCGGCACTTGTCAGTCAAAATCAAAGTGCGGAGCTACTGCTGCATTAACAGCATCATCAGTGAGCTGTGCTGCAGATTTGTGGCAGTCGTTGGGGCAGTGGGGCAAGCGCGGGTTGCAGCAAATGCGTGCCGCATGCGCCAGCAGCGCCAACAGCGTCAACAGCGCCAACAGCGAACATCAGTGCAGATTAGAGAAAATGTTTTACTTGCAGCATCTGGCATCTGGCCGGCAAGAGGCAACTGTGAGCGTAGTGAGCGGCAAGTCATTTGAGATCGAAACATGTCGATTAGGGAATTTTAAGAGGCGCCAGTTGCTGGCGCAGGTGGCTCACATCATTCGAGACGTCGCGACGTCTTCGTGGCACCTTGGGGGACCTGCAGCAGACCCAGCCGCGCTCGCAGCCACAATGAACAAGCATCTTAATTGCATTTGATGAACTTTGAGCCAGCATCTCCTGCCAGACGGCCATTTGCACAAAGAGACGCCGAACTATGCACACTTTGCACAAGCTTTTGACAAATTAATTATCCAAGATGAAAATAAAAGTGGGAATCAATTAAACATAGACACATATGTGAGCGAAAAGCAGCCTTAAAATCAATATAGTAATTTTTATTGAAAGAATTAAGAACATTGCGCTCGGGCGTAAGCGACTTCTTAATACTCATTCACGGCCTCAAACAACGACAAATATTGCTTAAAGATTAATTTCCGATAAATCTTTATAAGTCGTTAAGCTCGACAATAATTAGCCTACGGCACTTGGTAATCCGAGCTCTAAGGTTGAGTAAGGAAGAGGACAGAAAATGAGAAAGAACTAGCAATAAGTTATTTCTCCCTTAGTCGAAGTGTGGCATGACCCCAGGTAAAATAAATATTTAAATATATTTTATTCCAAATTTAATGTTTATAGCCTTAAAAGTAGCTTAAATAAAAGCTGTTATATTTTTAATTTAGTAATTCCAAAATTGCCAAAATATACAAGGCGAGGCTACCAAATAGTATAGACCCCAAATCCGAAATGTACTTCTCTTAACTAACAGCAAAATGATTCGCAGAGTGATAGACGGACGGTCGGACAGACGAACGAACAAAAAGGCAGATTGACAGAGGGACAGAGTTAGGAGTTTAATATAAAATAGACCTACGCTGGCGTCTCAGTTTCAACCAATTTGAGAAGATTTCAATAAGAAAAACAATTGAGGAGAATACGACCATAAAAGCGTAGCCGCACCAGACATACTGCAGATCCTGCAGCTGCATGGATTGAAAGTTTCTGCGTGGACTGAGATCCGAAAATTGCAGTTCACCGGATTCGACCAGTTCCCAGAATCCATTTGCTGTCCAATGCGCTACGAGACCCGTATCAGTCACCTGCAAGATGAGTCTGGCTATGGGATTCTTATAAATTGAGTTCTCATGCACCGGAAACACGAGCGGAATATTATTAAAGAAACAGAAATCGTTACGCAGCCGAAACATGGGCTGACTGAAGATGTTCTGTTGCGCGTTTATTACAACCCATTTGCTTGTTGGCATCATGAAGCCATGCGAAGTATCCCAGGTATCACGCATGCGTATAAACTTGCTGAAACTGGGCTCGACCAGGAACATGGGCTCGTACTTCCGCAAATCCTTGGCACGTGCAATGAGCTCCCCATACTCACTCTTCCAGGCAGCCACTTTCAACTTAGATGCCAAAATATCATCATAACTGCGGAAGGGCGCCTCCTTAGGTATGCTGGTCACGTAGGCCGAGAAGTAGGAATTGTACCAAGCAGTCACCAGAATGCCCAGCACACAAATGTGCATGTAAATTGCACGTATCAGTAACGAGGCCCGATGAACCTGATAAAAGGATTGTCCCAAAACTCCTCTCAGGCAGTTGTCATGCAAAATATATTCGTATATCTGCACCGTATAGCCATGGTGCTTCAGAACCACTGAAAGTGTCATAGAAATGACAACCATGGTTGCCAGAGTTAGCAAAAATGCCTCCAGATCAAACACGTTGATGTAATACTCGGCGCGTGGTATATCCGCTTCCACAGGCAGCATCACACACCAATTCAGTTGCTCGTACGGATAGGTGTACCCCAGCATATCATACCTTTCGGGGAACGTAATGGCCAGTGAGATGTCCACAGTTTCGTTTCGCACAGCGGCGACCAGCTCCGTTGATGGAAGCAAGTCATTCGGCTTGGCAGGAATCGGCTGCGTAATGATGCAATTATATTTCTGCTGAAAGACCTCCATGAAGTGGCCCAAGGTGCCCTTGTAGACGATCTCTCCATGTTTATCGTAATACAATATGATGCGCGGAGAGGCGCCACCAAGTATTGCCTTCACACCAAATCCGTGAAGATCACGCATACGGTCAGGAAAGATGATCGAGTTGGGATCGTATTGACGTTGCTCCAAATGGTAACTGGGAAATGGCGAATAGCTATAGAAGGTGTTTGTTATCTGAAATATATAATATGAAAGTCAATATCTTTATAGCTGAGTGCCTAGGCGTTGTACCTTGTAGTTCTCGAATATGGCCAACACATTCAGCAATCTCATTTCCCAGCAGTGGGTGAACAATTTGTATAGAAAGATTTCGTTCGCTTCTTCCAGCTGCACTATGAATACCACCCGAGACACGGTCATAATTCTCAAGTTTTTAACCAGTGCGTTAAGAAGGCTTTTATTCTGCTCGAAATCCGTTCCAGTCAAATGTGCCACAGTCAGTATCAGATTACTTTGTTTATCGTACAAAAAGTAGGTAACGCGCTCGTCGAGCTGCATAACAGGTATTTGCAGGCTTTCCATTAAACTCTTGGCAAACTCCTCATTGAGATCATTCGTAAACTTATCATTTTGATATTTCATTAGCAATATATAATTAAAATGCTCTTGAGTTTTAATGCTGCTCAGCAGCTGCACAACTTCCGAATTATGCGCCTCGACTGTTGGGCCGAGCGTCCACAGCAAAATAATCCAAAGACAAGCCATGGCGAGCAGGAACGAACCACTGCAGGACACCGCTTCATATCACTGCCTTTTTAAAGGGTTACTAATGATCCCATACGAAAACACACAAAAAAATGTCAAATTAGCGCTAAACAAGCCTCACATAAAAACAAAACCCTGGAGATTACAAGCAAACGCTGTCCACGCTGCTTGTATTAAAATCACTTATGACAGTGGGCTAAAAAGGTGTCAGGCCGGCATAACTTCACAGGAATTTTTACAAGTATTTATTTTAATCAATAACAATTTTCATTGAATATTATTTTCAGCTTTTTTTACATGTTATTTTAATAAACTATTTTACTTCAGTATTTCTCGTTGTTTAGAATGAAAACATTTGCAAAGTATTTTAATTTATGGACGGAACAAATCAGTTTTAAATATTTTTATTAATATTTAATGACTTTCAAATTTTGAATTTTTAAATTTATGTCTTTAGTCGATTTATGCAAATGTGCAAAATTGTAAAAAAAAAAATCGTTGTCAAATTTCATGCAGCAAAAGCAAAACACAAATTTTAGCTGTTTTCAATGACTCAAAATAAATAATTTTTTGGCTCTGAAACATTTTTTCTATAATTTGTTCTCTGAGTTCACTGTTTATACTAATATTATTTATATAATGGAACTATTAATCTGGTTATCTTATATACGTTTTTAATAAAAGCAAAGCATTTTAGCTCTTCTAATCACTTTAAATCTCTCAAGCTTCACCCAGTAAGTTAAGAGGAAAATGGAAAGAGAGTATCAGACTACCTACTTTAACATACATTAATATGTTAACATAACATACATAAATTAAAATACATTAACATGCATTACAATATTAATAAAACATATTAACATATTATAGAGTTAATTTTGAATTCCAATAACTATGCTTTAAACCTGCTCAGGCAGACTGTAAAAGTTTTTTTATTATAGAAAACATTTGGGAATATAAAAAAAATTAAGTCTCGTTATAATCAAACTGATATGCAACTATTTTCAAGTTGGGTTCCTTAAATATGCTGATCTCATATGCTGAAAAGTATAAGCTGTACCCAATAGCAGCATCCCAATAAACAGATGTGCAGTTATATGGTGTGCATCGAAGCTGGAAGAACCTGATGACCTTCCAGGCAATTAACGTGCAGTATAAACTTCAAAACATTTATATTATATATATTAATAATATAGTACCTCGAATATCAGCAGCTGCATTTCCCAGCTGTAGGTAAACAATTTGTATATAAATGTCTCGTTGGCTTCTAGCAGCTGCACATGAAGATCACCCGCGTTGTTGCCATGTGACTTAAGTTGGCTTCCAGATCTCTCTCTCTCAGGCAAGTCCGATCAGATAAACTACAGACAACATCCGACTACTTTGCTTGTCATATAGAATATAATTAACGTGCTCATCTAACTTCATAGCAGGCGTTTGCAGATGTTCCATTAAACTTCTCACAAAACTATTACCATGAAATGGATCTGCCATAAATCTAACTGACCCACCGAAACTGTGATATTTCATTAGCAATAAATAATTGAAATCAGCTTGTTTTTAATGCAGCTCAGCAGTTAGATAGTCCAAGGCAAAAGCCAGCAATAAGCTCGTGGAGAAATCATTGCGGGCATACAACTGCATGACGTTGATTGATGTTTTGCAGCTTTTAAAGGATTCATAAATAATCACAAACTTAAATTGTTTTTTAAATTGTTCCTAAAAGACTTACCATGTTCAAAAGTATTCCAATTTGGAAAAGTAGCAAGGAATTGTTATGGTTTTTTCAAACTGTCTAATCACTGCTTTGAAATTATAATGTATTAATAATATTGCATGCATTTAAAGGCTTGCAATAATTGTTATTACAACTAACATGCTATAATTGCTCTACTTCAATTGCTGCTATCACGATCATGACTCCACCAGCCATTAGAATGTAGAGCAACTCCATCAAGTGCACGGTCCAGCTGGACTAATTTCCATTATGGCACTAAAGGCCAGGTCACGGCAATAAACCATGAGGCCATTGGCAATCAGCTGGCTTAATCATCGCTCTGTACGCAAGACTTTTCCCTGTTGGAAAATGAGTTTCACAAAAAGTAAATAGCCGCTCTTGAGCTAACGTTCCACGTTGCGTATACGCAATGTAAATTAAATGAAATTCTCAGAATACAATACAATCATCACTGAGATCAACCTCGAGGATTCAATGAGATATCTTAGCAGCCTATAAAAAGAGAAAGAAACGCATATTTGATGAGATTTTTCAAGCAAGCTTTCTGATGTACGTCAGATTGAGAAAATATATTCATATAAAATATAAAACATATATAAAAACAAAAAATTGATTTTTTTTTTATTTTAAGTTGATAATTTGATGAAACCTTTGAACTTTAAGCTGATATGAACTCGATTTTGCTGTGCTGCCTACTAGGCCTTCTGTTTGCCGACTGTGCGGCATCGAACTCTGCTCAATGTATGTTAAGTAATTGAAATGAAATCTACCAAAGGCTAAATATTAAATTTCAGTTCGATGCAGTTTTTTAACTGACCGAGGGCCATGCAAAGGTCACAAGAAAATGTTTGCCTTTGACATCTTAGATCTTCAGTGCAAAGAGTTTGACTACAGCGGCTGTGGAGGCAATCCAAACCGCTTTAATAGCTTTAAAGAGTGTCGCAAAATTTGCAATGAAATTATAATTAATAAAAACATAAGTTAAATCAATAAGTTTCTATAAATTTATCTATGCTAGATATTCATTTAATTTGAGTAACGTCAAGTAGACATGGACGCATGGATTGACTGATAGACGGTCGAACAAATGGGCAGAAGGAGAAATAGGCGGAAGAACGGACGGACGGCCGGCCTTATTGGATTTGCCGCGTCTGCATCTGCATATTACATATATTTTAACAAGACCAGAATATCCATAACTTTTATTTTCAGTGGGTTCAAGGTTTAGTAAAAAATTAAGCTACCTCATAATACTGATACCGACATTAGCTGATTCGTGATTTCAGTTTCATTTTACATTTTTCTTAGCCCATTGAGCATAGCTCATACAATTTGACATTGCGCTTTATTTAAGAAGCTTTCCATCGAAATCACGAAATCGGGCTGGCTTGTCATACGCTTATCCCAGATAAATAATCCACTGAAGTGGGCAGCAGCTCGCCTGGCGTGTACGTATGGTTATTGTCGTAAGATTCGCCAAGAGCGCACAGATTTGTGTAGATTTTATCGCGAGCTTTGCACAGGGCTCCAGCCTCAGCCCAAGGCCTGTAGATGGGCTTCAGTAGCATATTGTCGGTGGCAAAGGCGCAGGCGAAATTGAATTGATATGAAATGCCAGTTTTGAATCTCAAGCCGCTGCAGCCGACATGCGTGTTGCGGTCCGCCATGAGCAGCACTACCTGACGCACAGATCTAGGAGATGAGTGGGAATTAGAGTAGGACTGAGATTATGTCAAGTTTACTAACGGCTGAGGGAAATCAACAGTCAGGCTCATCGACATATGCCGCGTCACGTAATGTGCATCCTCGAACCAGCCGTTGAGCAGCTCCTCCGTAATCTCCGGCACCTTGTGCAAATGAACATTCCCCGTATAGGTGAGTCCGTCGTAGATGCAGCCAATGGTTGTAAACTCTAACGAAGACATGCAGGGATGCGGATAAAACGTGCACTTCTTGATGAATATTATAGCAAAGTTCTCCAGCTCCTTGGACCAAGTCATCCGCGCCATTCGTCCGGCCGGATGCAAGGTGCGTGTATAGCCCAAGGCCACCTTGTTGCGAAAGGTGTTGAAATGATGCAGTAAAAGCGCCTTGTACGTGTACATATTAATCATCTTGGCATCCGGGGCGCATATAAGGCTCATGTCCTGCACGAAACACCAACTGAGTTAGCCACAAAGCCGCATAATATTCATACATACTTTGGAGCTATGACATCCTATATTCCTAACGCCACAGTGTTCGGTTTTGCAATACATTTCCTGTTGACTTGCTGTCGCATTGTGTGCTGCGTTGCCCACTCCCAAGAGACACAAGAGCAGCGTCACAGCCAACAGCCGATCATTTGCAAAGGACATGTTGGCAATAAGCTTCGACTGAGAATTGAAATAAAAGCTCAACGTGCAGGCGCACTTTATAGACAATTTCCACTTAACTTGAAGCGTAGAGCAAACACCTGTGAAACCTAAGCCAGGCATTTTAACAAACACATTCTTTGTGCGACAGCTGGAATTGAGCATTAAAATAATCCACTTAGTAAGTTTTAAAATTTTCTTAGCATGTTGTTATAGAAAACAGGCAAGCGAACTGCATAACATTTGCAGAAATATTCTTGGATTTGGCTAATTCAGTCTCAGCTATGCAACTTGATCAAAAGTATGTAAATAAGCTATTAAAGTTGGCATTTAATGTAAGTCAAGGCGAAAGTTGTAAGGCTTAGGGTTGAGGCTTAAACTTAAACTTTAACGGAGTACGGGTCTACTATATAATCAAGATCTCATCTCCAGCTACAATCGCTATAATTTACAGAACTCTTGCAGTGCTTATAATAAATAAATAATGTTTTACTTAGGATAAGTTGAACGAGCGACCTAAAAGCAGAAATTTGTATTAGCCATGGCTTAAGCTTAATTTGTAGTAACCCACAAAATGCATTAGTATTTAATTTCCAAACACTTAAATTGCTTCAAATTTAATTCTAAACGTATTCACATATATTCCATTCTTTATGAAACATAAAAATTGGGTATCACACTGTCAGCTGTATAATATTTGATGCTTCGAGTCCATAGAGTGCACTTCTTTAATTGAAAATTTCACAAACTCAAGTTTTGAAATGGAAATTTGGATATATGAACGTAATGAGCTGTCGCGGGGCAACGCAATAGCGCGCAGCGCGCAGACCACAGCCAAACATAAAAAACATAAATGAGGCAAAGATCTCGTTCATGTTTCATGTTTCAAGCCGCTTGACAGATGATCACTCTTAATGATGCTGCGAGCAACGATGCGACGACGCATACAGCAACAACTCTCATTATATTTCAAGCATTTTTTATTTTGGTTACTACAAGTTTTGATGCACTTCACTCGATTTGGCAGATGCGTCAGCACTTGACCCGCGCTGGCTCAGACTCGAGCTCGGACTCAGACTCGGCTGCGGATTCGGACACGGACTCCATCTTCGACTGTGTCCCATGCTTGTTAAACGCCAAATTGAGTTGACGTTGACGTAATGCCGCGCCACTCGACCAGGTCTCACTTTTTTGCTCGCTGATGAAGTGCAGCATCTGCGTTCGCTGTTGTCGGTCAATTAGCTGCGCATATCCCAAAGTCAGCCAAACCAAAAAAAAACCAAATAAAACGCTGACAGCCCAGCCGTGGATGGTGCGGGTCATATGGAGTCTTTAATTGGCATAAGTTACGTCCACGGAGACAATTTGTAGAATGCCTCAAAAGTTCATAAGTGCAAGCAAACTACAAGCATGTCTGCTTAATGCGCCGAAATATGTCAAAAGCTGCCTTTACTTGAATGTAAATATTTGTCTTATATTACGCTAATTACTGCTATAACAATATATTACATATATTACATATATATTACATATATATTACAACAACTTCAGCTTGCATAGGAATCAGATCTTGCTTCTTTTATTTTGTCATGGAGCTAAACAAGTGGATTCTGATACAATTTTCCATAACTCACGCAGCAGAACGTTATCTATATTAATGACTCCGCTAAGCCTCTTCTCACGTTATAAAATTCATACGTCTCTATAAGCATTTACTAATGCAAAACAACTTTGCATGATGTCTGATATCATTGGGTGCTGATATCCTAGCACTAATTTAAAAACTTTTAAACAAAATTTGAATACTTTACAGGAAATCTATATAAATATCTACAACACGCATTTCATGCTATATAGCTAAAGACCTCATCTAATTAACCTTAAGAACAGATTTAAAAATGTGTGAATCAAAACTTGTGAATTCCTTTATACAGTATCTACAAGATAGTGTATCTACAAGATACTTTTGATTAGCTATTAAAATTTTTGCACAGTTCCGAAAAACTGCTAATCAAAGCTTGAATTTCCTTATAGAGTATCTAAAAGATAGTGTATCTACAAGATACTTTTGATTAGCTATTCGAAAAACTTCTAATCAAAGCTTGCTTTCCTTTAAAAAATATATATACAAGATATAATATCTACAAGATATAGTATCTACAAGATACTTTTCATAAAACGTGATATGTTTGTATACTGAAATTTAAGCACAGATTTGAAAAACAATTTATTACAATTTGAACAGCTGTATAGAGTATCTATAATCTACCAGCTATAAGATACTCTTCATGATATTTAATATCTTTAGCCACTCAAATTTTTCGATTATAAAGAACATTTACTAAAAAAAACTTGCCTAACTTTAAAGAGTAACTTCAAGATCTACAAGAGACAATTTGATGACTATTTTCAAGCTGAAGTATCTAGAAGATACTTTGAATGATATAAAATATCCTGAGCTACTCAAACAGTTAATAAAAACTTGCAATTCTTTATAGAGTATCTTCCAGGCTATCCTTTGCAGTCAAATGCTTCTTCTTTTGATTGCTTAGGCTGCGCTGCTAGAAAATGAAAATGGGAGAATGTGGCAGGCACTGGAAAGTCTTTGCATCGAGCATCATATTTGAGTTTGTTAGTGGCTCTAATCTGGTTAGCTGGCCTGTCCAGTCATTGTCGCGGCCCAAATGCAGCACCACCCAGGCCACGCAGCTCGGTCAGTGGATAAGTGGCGCAAAGCCACAATAAAACAAAAAAAAAACAAAACAACAAAAAAAGGCGCTCCACAAACGGTAGCCTTTTTGGAGCTAACAACAATGGAATTGTTGTCGTTCGTTTTGAAAAGCGAAAGAAATGGTGAAAATAGCAAAAGGCCAAATGCGGACTGACAAAATGCGCATAGTCTATATATCTAACGATATATATACGAGTGTATATAGTACGTATATCGGTCGCTATGTGTATGATAAATGGCATAGTTTAAAGCAAGTCACAAATGCTGGCGATTGTCCAGCGCACAATGTAAATTTCCATGGACCATTTTGGATAGCTTTTTGGCCTTTAAGTAGTCCTTCTGTGAACGCTGCCAGCCTAGTTGGCTAGGTCGTTGCGGCTGCTGCAGCAGCTGCTGCCCCCGGTGCTGATTTATGAAAGGGTCTCATAATTTACCACAAATATGGACATAATTTCATGTTTATATATATATATTCTTTTTTGGTGCTTTTACTTTTTGGTGCGCTAATGAAGCAGCCGCGGCAAGAAAAACCCGAAAAGAAACTAAAATAAAGGCTGACTAGCTCAGTGCTAATTTAAGTGTCCGCCCGATGGCCACTTGTTGCTCTCGTTGGCCATCGTTTCCTAGCAATCAGCCAGAAAACGTGTCACTCCTAGACGGCACACTATAATCAACATTAAGCCAGTCAGCCAGCCAGCCAGCCAGCCGGTCGCCTACAATGTAGAGCAATGTGAACAATCACGTCCGGCTGCATCCTGGCATGAAACGCTGCCCGCTGGCCCTCGCTACAGCCACGCTTCAATAAATGTCACTCCTCGAGCTTTGCATCTAAAAATTGATGACAATAATTTGTTGAATTTGCCCGAAGGGGGTGTGGCCAAGCAGCAAGGCAGTCAGCCAGCCAGCCAGCCAGCCAACCAGGCTGGCAGTCAGGCCAACAAATTGTTTTGGCAGACAGTTGGCTCTAACTGTCCCTGGCAGCGTTGGCGTTCCAGTTGGACGCGACGCGATGCCCGCTGCCGTTTTTCGACACAATTTATACAAAGTGTCGCAGTTTTTGGCGCTTTGCATTTGTTGCTGACAGGCAGCAGGCAGCAGGCAACAGGCAACATGCCCCGCCCTGCTGCACACTCGCCCATTGCGACTGCACTTTGCAGCCAGCAAAGCCAAAGAAACTAAAACGAAAATCTAACATAAATTTCGTCATTTTGTCGCAAGTCATTTGGTATACCCTAACCGCAACAGGGTTTAGGTGGGGCCAAGCACTGATTGCAAGGCGCAAGGCGAGTTGTTCCATGAAAAGCAAAACATTTAGCTATGTTACGTTTGCTGCAGTTTCTGTTGTTGGATTCGCTTTGATTTGATTTTGATTGCGCATTTTTCAGATTGATAAATTTATTGACTTTGCGACCAAAAAACAAATCACCTGCGATAACACAAACGAAATTCAATACAAATTATAATGGGCAATATAGTGGGACTGCCACTGCCACTGCCAGTGCCACTGCTGTTGCCACTGCAACTGTTGCTGCCACAGGCAGCAGGCAGCGCTTGTAAATGGCATCAATTGCGACCTTTTGGCATTCTTACGGAAACATTTCGCTAATGAAACCGATACCTCAAGTGTCAGCGGCAGCCCAGACGTTGCTCCTGGCCGCTAGCAGACGCACACACGCGCACTTCTTGCCACATTCTAAGCCTAACTACTAACTTATGTTGGTCATAAAAATGTTAAGCGTACCACATTTGCCACATTGCCACCTTTTGGCCAAAATGAAATGGAGCACGCATGTGGCACGAGATAAATCCAACGAAATCGGATGCCACAGCCAAGCCGAAGGAGTGGCAACACGCAGCTGCAGCTCATTACGAGACATCAAAATGTGTTCGCTTGAAAGACTTCATGACATTGCAGTTCCATTAAATATGCCAACTTAGTTGAAGGCAAACTGTATCAAATGCCCAGAAGTCAGCGGAAAGTATATCAGATATATTTATATCAAATAGATGTCTGCTTGATACAGCCCTACCTATAAAAACCGACAGACCTCACCTGAATAGAGTGGACACTGAGACAAGAGCTAGAGCAGTTGGTTCTCTGGCTGATACAGCCTTGACTTCTGATGAAAACGTTAGCTGATTGATTGCTCGTTTAATTATTTCATTACAAAACGAACACATCGAGTAATAATAATAATAATAAAATAATAACAATTTGTGAACAGGCACACTTGAGGCGGCGGCGCGATGGATGGATGAGCTGTTGGATGCCAAAAAGACACGTC